GCTTGCCTACGCACACAGAACTGCATCTGCTCGCCAGGTTTGCATAAATACTCTAGGCTGCCCACTAGCTTGGTGAATGTCTGCTCTATGTGCTCATAAATCCAGTTATTCTTGCCTCTCTGCGCCAGCGAGTTTATCTGTAGTCGAATCAACTTGCATTTTTTGAGAGAAGCTCATGTCTGTCTCTTCCGGCGCAGGCACAGGTCATCATCCTTGTTTTGCTGTACATGGACTTAGCTAGTGACCTAGCTGCTCAGGATCAAAATAGGTTTGCAACGGTTATCAATTTTTGTGCAAACCTCTCGTGTTTTATTTTGGGGGACCCAGTGGTGCTATTTTCGTCACCCAAAATTCCAGTTTCATCCCAGGTAGAACCATCCACTATATTGTCTCCATCTCAATTGCGTTTCACCGTCACTGACGTACCTACCATTGCCGCGCTAAGAACACAATAATTTGATTGTGCCGACTTCGGCAACACTCATTTTGATTTGAACCATGCTCTTTTTATAGCCGCAACGCCTGCATGTTTCAAGACACCCAAAACCGACCACTGTTTTTTTCTTCTGAATTCGGATGTATTTCTGCTAACCACTCACCTTGAAAAACAGCGTTATTACTGTTATTATTAAAGATATAAAGCAACGAGCCAATAACTTATTAAGTAACAAATTCCAAAGCCCTTTAGTTTTCAATAATAGGGATGAGATTTGTCAGGTTATCGAAAACAACTGAGAACAGGAAATACTCAGAAACGAAGTCGAGTCAGAGGTGATTTCAATCGGTATGCTGTGGATAATTGAAATCAAGGGCTATGGAAGCGCTTAGGCAAGAAATAGGCCACAGGGATGGGAGAGATGTTATAGTCATGCTCAGATACAACGCTAAATCTGGCGAAAGAATAGTCAAAAATGGATAACAGTCCAACCGAAAAACACTCACATTAATATTCTGTTAGCCGTTTGAGTGTAATCAACCGTTTGCATTTAGTTCTTACCTCTGCGTCTTTAAACATGTATCATCCTTCAATAAGAAATCGTTTCATGCTCGGATAACCAGCTGCAAGGTTAAAATCATCTGAAAATTTTTCAAACACGATTCGCCAACGAATTGTTTCATGAACCCTTCCGTGATGCATGCCCACTCGGCAAATACTCAGAAACTCTATGTTTAAAGCCCTTTTTCTCTCTCTACTACACTGCGTGGAGCAGTCTTACTAGACACGTGCGCGAATTTCGTGCTTACCAGCAGTCTTCTTGGATTTTATTCTAGAACTCCATAACCACCTATTCAACTTAGCAACATTTGGCCATGTATACTCTATTTGTCTAAATCCCGACGGCCGTTGAAAGACCATCGCCCGGTATATCATCAGGTACGGATGAAAGCATCGTGAGACGCAAAATAGCTCTAAATCAGTAGAGAAGACTGTGTGAACTGTAGAGCCGTCCGCCGTCCTTGTTCAATAATTGCTCCATCAACTGCGCACAAATAAAAGCACACCACATCGAAAGCGTAGGCTCGAAACCTTTTCTAATTTATAGGGAATATAAAATTGTTGAGCGCCTGGATCCTAAGGCATTAGCAAATGTGTGTAATGAGGGAATCACTCAACAGTATTACGAACCCGGCCGGCCCTCGAAACCGAAAATAATGACGGTCACCAAAACTCAAATAGAAGTAAATGGAAAACCTCAAAATTGCCAGTAGAGTTGAGCTTAAAATCTGCACTCCAAACGATTTCTTGGCCTTCAAATGTCCTGGCTTCTAGGATGCTCGTAGGATCCTGAACCGTGATAGGCAGACGATCAAGGTGGCAACGCATTTTCTCGCGTGCTGCCGTGAAAGTAAGACAAAGGCCAGTTTTCAGGGTCAACAAACTCTACACAAAAGGAGTGGGCGAGCCAAATCGAGTTCCATTTCGCAACAGGAGTATCTTGCAATGCTTTAGGTTTGGTTGCTCAAACCTACCAGCAGAAAGGCTCCAAAACACTTCGCGCACCTATCCCCTTTGAACGTTGCTCGTCACCCTCCGCAGCGCTAGTCAAATTTTCTAATGGCATTCCACAACATAGAAGAAAACTGTAAATTGACCGATTGAGGGCCGCGGACTACCTCAGCCCCCAAAACATGAAGTCATCATACACGGGGAATTTTAGAGGCAACCAAGAATTTGTCCTTACCAAATTTTCACTTGCGAGAAACTGTAACACCACACAATGCCAACGATAGAACCAACCAGTGTTCTTGCACTACTCGGAACTTAAAGCCTCATACCGATTCAGAACGGAATGCATGATGTTGAATGGCTAAGTTGAAGACGACTGTGAATCAACCGCCACACGTCCGCATACTGAGTCGGCATGGATCACCCTTCATAAATCGAGGGAAAAACTGCAATGCTGGGGCCCATGGTTGAAGATAACATTCATATGGTTTGCCAAAAAATCTCGAGCCCGCCCAGGCGACACTTGTATCCCCATGGGAAATTGTGCAAAATGACTTCAGTTTACTATAACACTCGAAATGAGACTAGTTGGTGAATTGCGCATGAAAAAGCTTCCTTGACTGAAGTTCACCAAGCTGGGTATGAGAAACTTTCAGGGTCTTGTATCGCCGAAACATGTAGCGTGGACCTGCCAGGACGCAGGTGTAGACACTCGGGGAATCTCACTTAGGGCTGAATCTGGCAATGCGAGGTGGAAATCCAAAAAGCGTTTTGGTAAGAAACTATTTCAACTGTTTGTTGTCGCATCGCATGTACCCCACATGTACCTTAAACACCGTGGATTCAAAATCTAACGTTTTTACGCGTCAAGAGTGATTCTGAGAAGTCAACCCATGACCCAGTCCTGGTGCCGAAACTTATTAACGTGCCCACCTAGTTCCGCTGAATCATCCGCATGCCTCCCACAGGAGGGGTCAGATGAGCCCCAATGATCGTGTAACTAACAAAGACAACTGTACTCGACAATTCATTTAAAGTAAGCTTGTTATGTCCCGAGACCGGATGGCACTTATCCAGTGATATTGAAGGAGACGTCATGCCAGCTAACTGGTTACTTCCTAGGGCCGGTAGAACAATTTGTCCACGCGGGGTTTATTCCAGTCATCTAGGAGGAGGCCGTGACCACAACTATTTTGAAGTCTATTAGCCACTCGACATCAGCTAGAGATAGGCTCATTCTTTTAACAAGCCTCCAGTGAAATATTTTGGAACTTTTCTCAATGCAAAGTGTCCTAAGGCGCTTAAACACCAATGGATTTGTACCCTTTGGGAACAAAGAGTTGCAGAGAATCCCGCGCATTACGAGCTCTCCTTTTCAAGGACTTCAAACTTATGATAACCGACTCATCTCGGCCGGAATATTCTCTGAATTCATAAAAATCCTCGATCGGGTTCTCCACACCCTGCTGATTCAAATGCTCGGCTCGCATGATAGTAAAGGACCAGTGGTTAGATAATGGTTTTCGCGGGATTTTTCGACACCGGATTGTCAGCACTCGGCTTTGCTGACAATTTCAGGCTTTGGAATCTCGTTTCCAGTGGACTACAGACTGATATCAGTTCAACAAAGAGCTGAGCGCTAGGCCATCATTTCTGCATTAACGATGAAAAGTGCGCACTTGTCCTCCACTGGAGAGACTTGAAACGATGTAAAGATACATGATGACGGAAAAATTCGGGCAACATCCATGTAGGATGTAGAGAAGGATGCGGAAATCCGTCTGCCTTCCACCCTCTACTTCGCCCCGAATGAAATGCATAAAATGCCTGCACTGCGGTGAAGACAAACGAACTTTCTTTGCCCCAACCGGCTCCCACGAAATTTTAGAAGCTGCATGTCGTATACACTAGACGGTTGACGGAGTACGGAAAAATTACTGCTTTGATGAACGTGCCCAACGCACGGTCATAAAGATTGTTACTGGTCCATGGGCTATGAATGGCATCTGAAGGTGCTTAACTTCCACTGTTGGATTTCACTAGCTAGCGTGTGGACTTGATTCTAGTAACTTTATGGAAGTGCTTCTGAATAACCATTCAACATCTTTCGCCTTGCTGACGTAGTGGTCTGGCTACCCAATAAGTTACTTTACCGGGAGTGTGCGGAAAAGAAGAAAATAATAACGCTACATTGGGTATGCAATAATAAAGGGGTTAAATGGAATAGACTAGCTAATAATGGTTTTCTTTAAAATAGTTCCCTGCTGGCTCATGTCAGCGGATAAACAGTAAGCCGATCAGGGGTCTTCTTGTAATAGCTTCCGAAGATGGTCTGAAATGTTTTGATACCTGTGTTAGCACATGAAACTCGCGAATGACCGCTGCAAGTGCAAGCGAAATCAGAAGGGAGAGTCGGAGCATGTGACCATGTTTGTATTGCGTGAATTTTTTGAACAAGTGAGCATTTTCGTAGTTTTTCGTATTCAAACAGAAAACGATTATGCAATTAACGGAATACGTAGTGTTATAATGAGAACAAAATGAAGGTAGAAAACACCACACTGACTATAGACGGGATCAGGATGGCAACTTTATTTCCTCACATGAGTTGTAAACTCTTAGAATACTTTGTCCCACACTGTTTTTACCACCACCTCTGGACAACGGTTCAAAAATTGTTTTGATGCTTATTTCCGTGAATCCTTCTTGACGATGGTTTGTTTCATGAAAATGAAACATTACTGCACCAGAATTTCCGTATATAACCTTCAGGTTAGGCGAACTTGACAAGTAACATCCTGGGAAGTTAGCGCAATCGCCATGCAATGACGACCACTAAACCGCTGATAGGTAGCCGTATGACGAGGAAATAATGAGGGGGAAAACCAAACAAAAGCGATATTTCAACTGACGTATCCCAATGAAAACGATGCTGGACTCAACTAACGTAAAGGCTAACATTTAGCCCCTATCCAAAATCCAGTGCACAAGTCCATTCGAAGGTTTGTTTTATTGTATCACAGAAAAAAGTTTGTTGCACTCGCGTATATGGACGAATTTGATTCCGTCAGCTTCGATGTACTCACGTACCAGGTTGATTTTTTATACATGTGAACTACAATTTCAAGGATACAGCGAATGTTTTTAAAATAAGAATCTTTATCTTGCTCTAAAAAAGGAAAAATTTCCATCTTCACCATGAATAATCCCGGGACTTTTCGTGTGTGTGGTTGCTGGACCTAATGGAATATGCATGACTGTATTCAAAAGACTGGGATCAAACTTGGCCTGAGGAGGCCACCACTCCCACCACAACGTGATATTCCCGTGGGCCCTGTTTCAAAGTTGAGATTCGTTTCACCGGATTATTCTTTGAAGAAGCTCTACGGGGACAACGAAATCACAACATCGAGGTATACGTGGTATGGATTCATATTCCAAAATCTTGTTGAACAAGCACAGAGAATCGCAAACTTCTACTTTATTTGCATTGCGGTGGTACAGATTTTTACAGATTCGCCTGTCACTCCCGCCATTTCAATTATTCCTTTGGTATTTGTGCTTGCTGTTACCATGGTAAAACAGGGTTATGAAGATTGGCTCAGGCATAGAGCAGATAGAGAAGTTAATTATGTTCGGGTGGAAGTGGTGACCGAAGATGGCAGGTTGCAAACGGTGAGAGCGATGGAATTGACTGTCGGTGACATCGTACTTTGCAGAGTCAATGACATTTTTCCGTGTGATATGCTCATCCTTAGTTCCAGTGAACAAAACGGCGAATGCTATGTGACGACTGCCAGCTTGGATGGAGAAACTAATCTGAAGCGCTTTGTAGCACCTGAACTGACTCGAATGTATGACAGTCCAGATCTTCTGGCGAAAAATCTTCGAGGCACAATTACATGTCAGCAACCGATTAATGATCTGTATGCATTTAACGGCCGCCTCACGGTCGAAAACGAAGTAGGAGGTGCTGAAATCTGTCCAATTGGTCCCTCCAACCTTCTTCTCAGAGGTGCGTGCCTGAGAAACACAGATTTCGTATATGCATGTGCTGTGTACACGGGTCAGGACACAAAAATGGCACTGAATTCCAAAGGAAAGAAAACAAAATTTTCGCAAGTGGAACGTCGGTTAAACTACTATCTTGCTATTATTTTGGTATTTCTTGTTACGTGCTCTCTCATATCAAGTATTTTGATGTTTGCCCTCCCTTTAAAAAATGCATGGTACATACAGCCACAGACGATTACCGCATGGTCAGTCGTGCAGACGTTCCTGGGTTTTATCGTCTTGTACAACTATATCATACCTATTTCTCTATACGTCACGATTGAAGTACAGAAGTTCTTCGGTTCTCTTTTCTTCGAGTGGGATATAAACTTATACGACAAAAATTTGAATGAACGGGCAAAGTGCAATACTTCGGATCTTCTAGAGGAAATGGGCCAGGTAAGTATATTACCTAATGTCGAATTGGTGAGTGCAATTCAAGTGAATAGGAACATTTTGAAAGTTTTACAGATGACAGAATGAACTTAGAAATAGTTAGGATGAAATCAATCTCGATTAAAAGGGAATATAGTTATTTTATACTATTTCATCTATGACTGTACTGGATTCTTCTTGTCAAATATTGTCTTCCCTCAGGTAAATTGAACACATTACTACAGCGCACTGAACAAGATCATTATATTTTTTCGACACTCAGTTGTGAAGGAATGGCATTCAAAAATTTCCGTTGTGTTTCCGTCGGCATTCGAATTCCCTTTGATCTAATTATATCTTTCACTGTGCTGGCACATTTATGCTATAGACTTATGCAGTCCTGTCAAAAATTCAACGCGCGTTAATATCACCATGCTTATTACGGGTTGTGATTTTTATGATGTTGAAAGTGTAAGAATATGAGTGGGCGGTGCGTTACAACCTAAATACTTTCTACATATTCTAATGTCATAAATTTAGATTTTTACTGACACCAACGGGTAGACCAACATCGGGTTTTACACCGAGTTCCGCATCCCATCGTTCGAGAAGCCAAAGAAAACTTTCAAACCTAAATTCATTAACGTTTAACGTGCATCTGGAACTCAGTCGTGATGTACAAGAGCAATAATCACGCTTTAACATGTAATTCCTTCTAGTTTTCGAACTATTGAAGTAAAAGATGTTTTTGATTAACACGACTGGTTGCGTTTAGCTTATTATTCTAAAAAAGAGCATTCGTCTAAAGCAGACTGTATGCAATGTTTCCCGGTTGTGATTTTTCATCACTGGAATAGAAAACATTCAGGATGCACAAGTAAATAAAGGAAACATAGTGCAATGGCATGCTTAATATGTCATGTTTACGGTATGCCCAGAGCAGTCAACAGTTTAAGCAGCAAAATTGATTTATTATGACCATGTAGCCGACAGTTACCATTCTCTCACCATTCCTTCAATAATGTGTGAAACCAACAATTGAAAGCACTTCGGCAAATTCAGGTAGTTTACTTAAGCCTCCAAGTTTTTTGTACAAAGATCGAATGAACAAGGAGAAAAATGATAGCGTGACCCAACGTCTAACAGTTGATTGTTGGTGATTCATTAATTGGGTTTTCACCTATGCGACTTGTGTATAAATAATAATGATTCATTTTTGACGATGAGCAAACGGATAGCTTAGACTAACATAAGACATGGTGCGTAATGCGTGAACACGTTTTAGTCACTTTTTGTTGTCTAGACTAAAATACATCATTGAAAAAACGGCACAAAAGTTATGATAACCGCGTGAATATAATGAATAACCAGACAAAAGTGGTGAAAAAGGAATTAAGCGCATTATGTGACCACCAACTGCCCAAGGATAGATAGATATATCCCAACAGCAATTTCGGGCAATTTAATGAAACAGGAAACTTTTTATTCTGTTACATTATATGCTATATACACAGTGTGTATAAATGTTACATATTATATTTATCAAATCACCGGCCAATGCTGCTTTTAGGACAATGAGGCACAAAACGAGAGATGAAAACTTCATGTGCCTCTTAACTAAATTTATTGCTGTGCCAAACCACAAATACGTGGTTTCAAAGGATGCTGGGGATTTTGAACAAGATTTTGTCATTTTAAGACAGGCGAAACATCAGATACGAACATTCGTTCTTCAGTTTTTGTTCCTTAACCATAAACAGGGTTTAAGGTGTACCCACCTACTGCTTTTTCACCTGAATAAGCATACGTTTTTCTTATCTAAGATACCGATTTATTCACTAGCAATTATGAACCGAAGCAACATTGGTTCAAACATGATAGCCGACTATTTATCATCAAAAGTTAGAGCCTTATCTGCCAGTTTCTCCGTGGTTAAAATTTATCGTACTTCTGTTTTGCACGTCCATCCGGTTTATTCTTTTGACTCTTATATAAGAGCATTATTACACGTAAACTGACTAACACTTTTAGCTTTATTCTTACGGCCACTCAAAGATGACGCAGGTTACCTTTTGGAGAGAGTTTTATATGAAAGCAACACACTTCCTTACCCGGTTTTTTATCTAAGTTTTTGGCTATAGTTTAACAGCTTTCTCTTGGAGAAATTTGCCGGTACGTTACAAGCTAAAGCAAACAACGGTTCTCTCCAAGTTTCACAATTGGTTCCATTTTGTTAGACTCGTCACCGCTACAAAATCGAATAAAGGCTTATGTTTATGGTAGACCGCAGAAAGTAAGAACAATGTGGCGCAAAATGCTTCTTATTTATCAGTTCTTTTAGAAAAAAACAGGTTTTATCAGTGTTTACGTGATGTGATCGCCTACTAGTGAGAAACACCTTTTTTTAACATGCGCAAACACTCAGCTTTTGGTGAGGCATTTCTGGAATGCCCTTTAATTCCGCTGGTATTTGCTTGGACTAAATAACAAGTTACCTAATTATGCTTATAAAATTAAAAAGCATGTACATACTTTGTGCTTTTGACACACCGTCATGCTATCTACCATTACACATCACTGACACAGACACGAACACTGTTCATTATACATAATAATGTGATTTTTAGGCTGCCCACTCTTAATAATCAAAGCTTCTGGGCCCATTTTACCTCTGCTTATAACAAGCATGTGTTTGTGGCCTCAAGAGCTTCAACCACGTGAGCATTAGGAATGGTGGAATTGCTCCCTTATGCCACACAACACTGGTATCCCTTGATGCGCTCAACTTTCCCGGCCAGCCTATTATTCCAGTAAAAAGCGCAGAAACTACCTCACTGCATCTTTTTTACGCTTGCACGCTTATAAGCACAATGTAGAACGATTCGTGAATAGTTTAGCAAATATATACTGCGGTTGGTTAGTGCGTCCATTTTGCAAAGATAGCCCGTGCGCCTAACACAATCCTAATTTACACCTCGTTCCCCTGCACATTATGATGTCTTTCTCTTTGACCTGCAAGGCACAATAAAGATACTATAAAATGGCTTCTACCCGAAATGGCTCAAAACTGAGTGTCCGTCACATGTGAAAACAAGCCTTCAATTACAGCCGTTCGCGAATTAGTTCAGTGTAGATGACAAACTTCAATGAATAGCTTGTTTACGCTGTTCTACAGGTTCCGTAGGAACCACATGATAATGCCTAGCTGCCGAGCTCCAAAAAATGCAGCAACCTTACGAATGATGGCTCCCATTCTCTTCAGCCGAGTGTCTGAAGAAATTTTGCTGAAACCACATGAGTGACTTCTAATTTGGTCTCGTTTACTTTCGAGTGGCTTAAAGTTTGCTGCTCTTTGGCATTTTTTGAGTTGCGTGCAAGGTAAGCAAGAAACAGAGCCACATCGGAACAGTAGGCACCCAAAACCTGTTGATCTACAATGCTTGAGTCAACCGGCGAAAGAACGAGAAGGAAGTGGTATAAACCAAGCAACTCCCTACAGTGGAAGGTTTGTATACTTTTTATTCATCTACTGGATGCACTAGCCTCATTTTACATATAACTGCATATAAAATCCACAAAATAATGGTTCGTTCATCGTTTCCTTAGATGTAAGTCCACAGATATCACAGCCAAAAAGCCTAAGAATGACCACCAAACAGGTGTGTGACTTCCCTCATTTTTGACCACAGATTGTCCTCCATTGAGTGAAAAGGACAACTAGTTGTCGCTCTACTGGTCGTAAGCCTACTGAAGAATTTTTCCAGCTTGCTTTTGGTCTTGTCTCTCATGGTGTCCATCACTTGGGCCGAGTGAATATAAAATATATAGATATAAAATGTGGTCACAGTGATTTTCAAAATATGTTGGTGGCAACCAACCAACCAAAGACTCACCTCAATCTCTTGTGCATAGTACTCTTCATCTGAATGTGCTACAAAAGTGTGACTCATTTTCTTTGGAAACATATTCAATACCTCGAATTGTTTTTCTTGATTGAAAGTTCCGAGTACTTCACTATCGGTTCCTTCGTTTTCGAGTTTCAGGACATAGACCCGGTTCACAAAATCCAATCACTCCTACTTAATAACTGTACACTAAATTTGCCTCATCGGAAAATCATCAATAAGTTGCAAACTAAAACAATGTACCGGGGTATTCATTTGGATGTTTTGTTTACACCATTCTACAAAAACGATTGCTCATGTGATATTAATTGTTTGACCCAAGTTAAACTAAGCAACGTGAACATGACAACTTATCATGCCAAACAGGCTTGCGTGAGCTAGATTTACACACCTACCGACAGATTAGAACCAGTCTTGTCTGTCACCCGAATGCTTGCAGTTCAGGTGCTGCAAAAACACGAATGCAACAATTTTTGAGGTTCATCTTCGCACGCGTTCCAACAGATCATTCTAATTTGTAAAGACATCTGTCGTTACACAATGGCAACCCAAGTTATGTAGCTACAGTCAGTTGGTAGTTCTGCTGGTACTGTCTGGGGAATTTAGAAACTGACCGCCAGTGTCTGTCTCGGTGAAATTTGTTTTTGTTTTACTTGTCGTATTGGCGCCTTTGAGTGCTAGTGCGAGAACGATATCTGAACGCTTTGCATATCTGCAACGTTGTCAACTCTTCAAGCTAGAAACTGATTCCGAATAATACAGTTAGTTTTTCATTCTGTCACTAACTACTAAGGTGTTGTGGCAATCCTTGTATTTACTACAGCTTCCTTGAAACAAAATCGGAGTCTTTTGAGTGATTATAAGATTCGAAAACTCACAAAAGCTACCTTGGTACACTGATCCAGACATGTGATTACTGTTTGGTTTCAGTAGGATTAAATATGCACTCGAACAAAAATGTGGGATCGAACTTATATTTATTTACGACTCAAATTCCTACGAACGAATCAGCCTGTCAACAATATACTAACATCTCCAAGCACGGCAGCTGGGACAAAGTATCCGGATAACATCAAACCAGGCACCTACAAGCCTAATCCAGCATCCATGTGACCACAT